GAGGAGGGGGGGAACGGGATGGGGAGGGAGGGTCAGGTCTCGAGCCCAACCAAGGACAGCCTATTATAGTCTGCAAGTGGTTTTTTTCTTGAAAAATATCACTGACATTTGCCTCCAAGCTTTTAATCATCATCATATCAGATGCGTATTGGGCTATTTCCAGGAAGAAATCTTTTCAGTAGTCACTCAGAAACCATAGAAGTCCACTGCTATCAAACAAGGGTCAGACCCTGTAGCTACGTGGGCTTGGCAGCCAAGGAAGCCGTCGTCTACACAGAAATACTGAGAGGCAGCCAGAGTTCCTATTTTTAGCAATGAACTAACTGAAGACAAGGGTAGCTAACATCTATAACCATTTACTGAGTTGCATTACATCAGGTTTTTTTCTTCTGCAAGAGGAGGAATTTCTGAATTTCACTCTCCTTTCAGATCTTCTCCTCTCCTACTCATGGGTGTTATCTTCCAAAACAAAGGTCAGTATGACCCAACTGTCAGATGTGCATTTAAGAGAATATAGGATTTCCATTCAGGATTCCTTAAATAGAAGGTCGAAAATTGTTCAGAAGGAAAAAAGCAGACAGAGCCAATGCTGCTGCCTACTGACTGTCAGCTGGTGCACACAGCCTATTGCACCGTTGGAAGCAGCAGAGCAGTTTCCACTCAGTAACTGGAAGGATGAGCAGATAAACTGAATACATTGCTTTTTGCCCTCTTGCCTCACATGCAGCAGACACCACCCTGACATAGTCAAAGACTGGGTTCTTTCTGAAACATATTTAGATGTAGTAAATTAATTACAGTATATAGCAACAAATCCCTGTACCTGGAAATCAAACAGAAATCAACCTTCACTTCAGAAGGTTGAAGTGTCTCCCAATTTACTACATTATTGAAAGAACTGTAGGGGATAATATTTTACACGTTTTCTGTGTTGATTAATTTGAAGGGTTGGATGTACGGGTGCTTTAAAAAAATGCTTTAGAAGAAATGAAAAGGAAACTTTAGAAGTCTTCAAAGAAACACTGCTACTACCAAATGTAAAACAGCACTATAAAACAGTCACGGTCACATCATTTAAAAGTTGTTTTTCACATAACTGAGCTGCACTACAATAAATATTCTGGACAGTAGATGTCCTAATGGTAATTTGGCTGCACCAACCAAGTTAAATGAAGTGTCATACAGTTATTGAGTAAAATCTGCCTTAGAAGGCAAAGAAAATACTTCTGTTAGAGATGTGCAGTAAGCAACAAACATAGACCATTAGGTTTTGCTTTTAAGACAAAATAAACATGATAAATGTGATTCTGCTAAAAGTTCCACGGTTGTTTTGGTTTTGGTTTTTTTTTTTTTAAATAATATTTGTGAGGTTTTGCTTGGTTTAATGACATGGACAGTTAAAACAATCCCCAAACTGCATTAATGCGATGTTCCCAGTCAGGGAATTTATCAATAAAACCGGTGAATTCATTCACAAGATAAAAATAACGATACAGTTAGGGAGATCAAAGATAACCTCCATTGCTGATCAGTGTTTGAAAAGCAAATCCATTATACTATGTAAACAGAAAGGTCACATAAGCATTTTCTATATAAACAATAGGCTAAAAGTGCTCCAAGAAACTGAAAGCCTATACATTTGACACAATATATATAAATGGATTCGAATTGTCTCCATGTACATCCAGTCAATCAATCCTACTCTCCAGACTCAAGCTTTGTTGGCCAAGTAAATGCAAAAAGTGCTTTTATTTACTGTATTGTAAAGGAGAAAAAGGTAAACCAGGAGCAAATACTACAATTTAAAGTCCAAACTATAAATAGCTTTAGGTTTTAGAAAATAAAAAACAGGGAACTAAGCATTTCTGGATAACAAACAACAAGGACTGGTTTTAGACAGATGCATGCAGTAGGTCTTAAAATAACTAGCAGTTTTACTTTGTAGTTTTACTTCACTGTTTTTCCAAGCTATTTTGGAAACTTTTGAAATCAGTCTTCTCTGTAGAGAATAAATTTCAGTCACAAGAAAAAAAACAAACCAAGAATTTATTCCACCACTGCATATATGTTTTCAATATCAACAGACAAGCCACAGCGTATTCAAAGGATCAGCTTATCATTGTCTGAAATTATCAAACAGAGCCAAGAGAATTTAAGTGGGTTAAAAATGTCATAGAAATGAACAATTGCTCAAAGTTTGAGAACTCCTTGCTCCGGGAAAATGCCAGAAATGCCAAAACAGCTTACACAGGTCAGAAGCAAAAATTCAATAAATTTATCTCAATACAGAAACAATATAACAAAGGAAAAGTCATATTTCTTGTCTGACAGATCCCAGAAATACAGGGAAACAAAGGTATTTGAATACAGACCATCAAATTATTTTTAAAAAAATCAATTAGAATATATGTCAGGGTTGGTACTGGATTTCAAACAAACATCTGGGGGTCAGGAAAGTAGTGAAAGCAAGGCGTATCACGTGATTACCTGAACCAACCGCTCAGAACACATTAAATGTCTAAGTAGTCGTCTCCAGCTACTCACATAACTTCAGGCTAAGGCTCAGACCAAATGCACAGTAGTCAGCACATGTTAAATGAAAAAGTTTCTGCTATGTACCATTGAACTGTTTAGCTACAGCCATCCACACGAGTACTGTTAACTAAAGCAAAGGATGGTCTGAAAGAGGAATTACTGTTATTAGATCTGAGCAGGGTCATTAGGATCTTTTGTTTTGAATCCAGCCTTACTGAAATCTTGTAAGTGGGCCATGGTATGATGTCTGTTTTGAATGCCTACAGATTTTGGGTGTTAATTCAGAAGACAACTCAAGAAAGCAGCAAAACATCTCCTGCAACTTTTGGACCACGCATGCTTTGCTTGTCAGATTATACTCAGTATTTCAGGCTGGTAAACCTGAAAACATCAGCTGAGATAACCAGATTTAGGGGGCCTGAGGGTGGTGGAAGAAAAGGAAAATGCACTACATGAGCTTTCCCTTACTGTCCCCTCCGGTCGTGTCCTCGCAGCTAAACAGTTCTCTCTTTCAGTAAGTCACATGGCAGATGTTAGCTGTTAACCCAATTTAGACTATTTTTGTTTCTTTTCCAGTACGTTCCGATCAGCAACATGAACCACAAATAGTGCACGGCAACTGGCAAGTGCAGATGCCCAAATAACATGCTTTTCATCAGTACCCTTGACTCATGTATCCTGTCTGGGCTAATGTTAGTTGCCCAACTGCAGCGTGTCTGCACCCTTGGATTTTCCACAAGGGCCTGAGCCATCCCAGAAAGCTCAGTCTTCCTCTCCGGACTTCAGCTTCGCTGTGCTTTTGGTGACTGCCTCTTAAAGCTATCTTGTTATACCAATTTATATCTGGAATCTCTAGATTTACGCTGGTATAGCAGTCCAGTGCTTTTCCTCTAATT